AAAGCAATAACAAGAAAGGAAAAGGAATATTTCAACTTAATGGTATTTCATAATATAATTATACAATATCATAAGACCTCAAAACAAAAACAGGTATAGAGGACTAAATAGACTATTTTGAACAAAAAATGCACAACTAGAATCACGATAATAACAGTTAATAAAATTGAAGACAGAGAAAAATTCTTAACGATTATGGAGAGAAAGAAGATGGTAATAGCAAAAAACAGATTATTCCAGGAAAGAGCAAGAATTAGATTGACAGCAGTCTTCAGAAAAATGACATTGGGCACAGAGTGAATGGAACTGTACTGTCAAAGTGTTAAAGAAAAACTTTTTAACCTAATATTTATTTATATGCCTGTAAACTATTGCTTAAATTTTAAAATAAAGATATTTTAACTCAATTTTAAAAAATACTTAGATGATGTATTATAGCAAGAAGAATGATGACTTCAAGAGGATATTGCAATATGGAAGTAAAGATGAGTAAAGTCTTACAAAAATTCATTGTCTAAATAACTGATATATATTATGAAGGGTAAGATGAGAAGAAAATAGGGAGATGTGTTGTAAATTTCTTTTCTTGCTTGGTAAAAAAGGTAGATATTCAATATCACTAGATATTGGAAAAGAGTGTTAGCATAGCTGTATATAAGTTAGGTAACTGCTATAAGAATAAAACCGAATATTACATGTTCATGTTGGCTACAGAAAACAACCTGTCCAATGGAATATGCCGGTAATAATAATAATAATAATAAATGAAGCACAAAAGCAAAATAAAATTTTTAAAAATAAAAGTATGCTGGCAGAAAACATGAAAAAATGATAGAAATAATCATAAAACTATATGGGTTAAAGGTTTCAGTGAGAAGAGAAAATATTTCTGATTAGATATCAACTAAAATAAAATTCATGAACATGTATGTAAAGGATATATTTAACACAATTTATAGATTTATTGAAAATATATGACTGGGAAAAGATTTCCAAGTCAAATAAGTATACTGGGATGACAATTATATACTAGGCAAATAGCATCAAAGCAAGACAACTATAAGAAAAAAATATCGTTGTATACTATTAGAGAAAAAAAAATAGTCAAATTGATATAATTGTCCCAAATACATACACAGCTAAAGTTTAGCCTCAAATTATTTTTAGAGTGAAAAATAGCAAACATTATGTTAAATAATAATTGTAGTTGGAAATTTTTAACACAATCTTCCCAGAAGCTGACTGATTAAAACATTTTAAAATTAGCAGATATTAAGAACGTATGAATAAAAGTCAGTTTATTTTAGACAAGTATGAATTTAAAGTCAACAAAAACACATTTTAAACTCCTATAAAACATTTATTTAAAATAAATATATTATTGGCAAAAAATATAAGTTCAAAGAGTTAACATACAGATTATATCCTATGAGATATAATAATATTAAAAACTGATATCCAAAGTACAGCTTAATGTCACATGTCTGAAAATTAAACAATGCTTACAACAATAATACAGTTATTTAATACATAATTCTTAGATCAAATAAGAAATTATGAAAGTTTACTATGTATAGTTTAATGACAAGTATATAATAACAAATATCTAAATCTATGATCAACAGATGTCTAAATCTGTGGCGTGTTATAAAGTAATGTTTAGAAGAAAACTTTCAGTTTTTAATAGAACAGCCTAATACTTGGTATAGAACAGCATAGTCAACTCAAGAAAAAGGAAAAATGCATAAATTAGTAGAAATCGATTAAGCAAACAGAATAAAAATATTTATTAAAAGTAAATTCTAGTTATTTGAAAAAATAATTAGCCAGATAAACTTCTATCCAGATGATCAGGAGCAATAAAAAAATAGAAGTCCTACCAACAACATAAAGAATGAAATGCAGAGAAAATAGAGATAAAAACAGAGTAGAGAATATGAGCACCTGCATGTAAACCAATGTGAAAACCAAGATGAAATGGATAAGATTATTTTTAGAAAAACCACAGAGTGCAAACATTTCTGAAGAAAAAAGAGTTTATTGATATATCCATAACCATAAATAAATGGAATTGCTGATTCTGCTCAGTACCTCTCACTCCACCAAAATAAATACCTAAATGAGTGATTGCAGGCCGACTGAATGGATGAATACACAAATAAATTAGTCTCTGGGCAAAAAAAAAAAAAAATTACATCTAAAAAGATATTACATCTAAAGTTTATGACACGTTGTACCTCTAAGGAGGTGATAATCCACTTTGCCTGCAAGGTGTTCCAGAAAATTTTGTAAAAAGAGAAAAAACTATAACATTAGTTTCAAGAAGCTCGTATAGCCTTGGAATCAAAATGAAATGCACTGAACTCTGGTGTTGTGTCCAGCATTATTACCCTCCTGGGCCTATGTCAAGGCCCATTGACCCGATCTCCAATGACTTGCAACTGCCGACATTTTCTAAGGGCTTCTTCTGGCTGCTGGAGCCCGCTTTGCTCAGCCTCACCACAGGGAGAAGTGCCAACAACCTTCAAACAATGACTGCTGGGGTTTTGTCTCCCTCACCCATCACGTAGTGCAATTATGAAGTGCAGGCCTCCAGAGTTCCCAGCAGGGTAACAGACTAGTTTTGCGCAGTAGTGATGTGCTTGATAACAAAGAGTTACATGACTGTCTTCCTGTCCTGGTCTCAGTTCCCAATACTCTACTAGTATATTCTGGAAGAACCTCTGAAATAACTATACTTACATTCTTATCCCGGGGTTTTTGTCATTGTTTTTCTGTTTTGTTTTTCTTGGGAAAGGCAATTGGTACCCAAAGTGTTCCCAGGATGGAGATTCCCTGACTGGATGCTGGATGTGGACATCTCCCTGCCTGTAAACAGCAGGCATTCTATGAACGAGGGTTATTGGAATAGCAGTGCCCTGGCCCCTGGCATGTCATCCCATCACAATTGCTAAGGCTTTTGCCTGTGGAAAACTGGGATAGAAAATAGAACAGTGTGCCCTGGTTTATGTCTTATCTCTGGTGTTTCTATATTAAAGTCAGACTCTGATAGGGAAGAAGTAGGACATTAAGACCTGGGGTGGAGACTCCAGGGTGGCTGTGCTTGAGAATGTTGAACATTCAGGTTCCCCTAAGCCCTTTGGATCAGCACAAGTGTCTCATCTACACCTGCTAGAGAATAGCAGCCTCCTCTCCTCTCAAACTCGGTAATTCTCCTCCCCAAGGCAAAAGCCATACAGGATAATATATACTTGCTGTCCTCAAGATCTGACCTTACCTCCCTTCATTGATTCTAAACCAATTACGAGGTTCAAGTCTCAGCATGTCCTCACTGGGGAAATTCTGTTTCTGTCTAGGGAAAAAATAAAGATTATTAGCAGAACTGAGAATGGATCTTGTGGGTGCTATATGCCTTCAAAACCAGCATCTCCAGGAGATTCACTGAGAGCCATTATTTTCTTGAAGTTTCAAGGAAACCTTCCAGTAGTTTAATAGTTTATTGTTAGTGCTTATGTACTTTGTCCTTGCCACATTCAATCCTGAGTCACAAGCAAGTTCTCCAACATCAAAAATATCTTACTGATACCTATATTTTGTCCCCACCACCCCTGTATCCCAGTCTGGTAACTGCCTTTATATCTAGGTTTTGCTATTAATAGTAATTCTGTTACTATCAAGTTGAGTTCAGAAATAAGAAAATATAACTAGTCATACTTTCTCACACTGAACACATAGTTTATTATATTCACACACAGTTTTCTCCCTTTGCCCCACAAAACAATGTTCAAAGTTCAATGAGGCATTCCTCATAAAATTTAGATAGCCAGCATGGCAATTCCACTTGAAACCTTATATACAATCTGAAAATTGTCTCCACTTTAAAAATGGGAAAATATTTGTAACATATTACAACTATAGAAGTTTATAGTACATGTTAAAGAAGACTCAAGAATTCTGGGTGATGGTCAAACTAATGCCCAACACATTATTTATGGAAATCTGTGGTCCTAACACCTTAGTGAGTAGATATTTACCTTTTGTTATTATATCTATTTGTTATATCTATTATATCTATTTGCTATTATTTCTCCTAAATTATTTTTCAAGTGACAGAGTCATCCAGGGAAGAACAAAGCTCATATATCAAGGATTTTTTTTTAATGTCTTTTCAATACAATTCTGTATTGAATAAACAGAGAGAAAATTTGTAAGGAAATGAGAGAATGTTGGTGATATGGTTTGGCTCTGTGTCCCCACTCAAATCTGAGCTCAAATTGTAAACGCTATGCACATGTGGAGGAAGAATCCTGGTGGGAGGTGATTGGCTCATGGAATCCATTTCCTTGATGCTGTTCTCGTGATAGTGAGGGAGTTCTCACAAGTTCTGATGGTTTAAGCATGGCAGTTTACCCTGAGGTCTCCTTCCTGCTAGTATGTTAGGCGTGCCTTGCTTCCCCTTCACTTTCCGCCATGATTATGCATTTCCTGAGGCCTCCGGAGCCATGCAGAACTGAGTCAATTAAACCTCTTTTCTTTATAAATTAACCAGTCTCTGGTATTCTTTATAGCAGTGTGAAAATGAACTTATACAGTTGGGTTAACTCATATAGAGTCCGTGTGCTGTACAAAAATACACTTCTTATGCAGTCACAGAATATGTTTTGCACAACCAAGGCCAACTTAAATAGGAATACTAATAGTAAACATTACTTTTTTAAAAAAACAGAATTGTTTTCTGATAATTTAGGTCTGTAAAACAGGAAAAAGGATCAAATAAATGAAAATATAGATGTAAAGATAGATAATTGATAGATGATAGATGTGGATAGACAAAGAGCTAGTAAATAATCATATGTTGGAATTTAATACCTTATTTGTCTAGCATTTACTAAGTACCGTCCTATCCATGTTTATGAAATAAAGGTTTTACCTTTACTTAGGAAACTTATGTATTACTTTAAAAAAAAAGAAAAGAAACATGTTCTTACTCTTTCACCTAGGCTGGAGTGTAGTGATGTGATCATAGCTCACCGCTTCTGCCTTCCTAATAGCTGAGACTACAGGTGTGTACCACTATGCCCAGCTTACATTACTTTAAAGATAAAATGCATTGTTCTTGTTACCCTCTGCAATAAGAATTTTTTATTATGTATTCTTAATATATACTTTGACTCATATTCTTTTAGGCATATGACTCAGGATTCTTAACTACATATACATGGATAGAAGTGCATGAACAGAAAATCTGCTCTTCTGGAATACCAAATGCAAAATTAAAGTCACTACAAGCAGAATTTGGAGAAAACAAATAAAAGATGCAATGCAGTTTTTAAAATCATTGTTAAAATATAATGAGCCTGTACTTTGCTTAAACAATAAAAACGTCTTTGATTTATACTGAGTTTTGTTTTATTTGGATAAACTAATGTGAGACATCTTGAAAATGTCTTCTGCATCATTTTTGTTTTATTATAGTGAAACTCCCATTTATGTAATGCAAATTATATACAAAGCTGTGCTTCCCTAAGGGGATCCCCTTAATAGAAACACCAAAACTCATTCAACTCTTGTCCTTTGTAGTAGTTATTTAATTAGCCTTTCTATGCTATACATTCTAGGGATATCTGAACTTATGAAATTTATCAATTCTTCTTACAATTATGATCCTCAGTATAACTCAGCATAAGTCTGACTGTGCTTCTGAAGTCAGTTAGTTTATTTATTGTTATCCATGCTTAGGTGGAGAGAGAATTTCCAGTTGCCTGATTACTCTGTGAGGTAAGAATTTGTTAGCAACTCTCTCAGGTCATCTTTTTAAATAAGTCTTAAGAGTATATCAGAGAAAAATAGATAGCATGAAATCCGATTTGGCTGTTCTTTGTTGTAGAAAACTCCATTTGATAAAGAAAGCTAAGACATACACATTGACACACAATGAAGCTTACTAAATTTATCAATAGAATAAAGCATGAAATCAATAGAAGTCAAACTCATCAAATTATTTTTCTCATTTAGACTCATCTTGACATAAAACAAATGGATCATGACACATCCCAAGAGAGACTTAGGGTAGAGAGCACAGGGAAATGCTTTTCTTAGAAGAGAGTCTATGGGGATGCCAATTTTCAAGGATCACGATATTTTATTACATGTTTCTGTAACTTTCAAAAATTTATAAATTCCATAACTGGTAGATATACCTACCCCACTGTAAACATATGGGTACAATTAAAGATAACAAAGTAAAACAGGAAGATGTTTTAAGTGATCATAATAGCTTAATAATCTATCCTAAGTGGGTGAATACAATTCTTGATAAATTGTCCCAAAAGGTGCTGGTCTATGCCCTTTTAAAAAAAAAACCTTTGTTTTCATTAAATTATAGGTAAATTCATATGTTGGTTTTATTCTAAATTGCAGACTTAAGTGTCTAACAGATTTCTGATTAAACATGCAAGGGATGGGTATATTTTCAATAACTTTTCAAAAATAACATATCTACTCAACTTTCAAGTAATATTTGGACTAAATATATAATTCTACACTATAATTGTGTAGAAATTTGATTTGTTTCATTGTAGTCCAGATCTCAATTATTACTAATATTTCATGCTGATTCCTGAAGCTTAGTAACTATTTCTTTTCCCTGTGGTGACTTTAAAGCCTTTCTCAATTTTTTTCAGAATGCAATTCCTCAACATCTTTTAATCTGAAAACTCCTGACTTTTGGGAAGATATATCCTCAGATTAATTTATGTTATGAATCTTGTTTTTGCCTATGCGTACTTTCAAAGTGTTCTACAATTAGCATATTAATTGTGATGATAGAAAGTGAAATGTAATTTATATAAAAAGAAATCTGTTCATGTATGTCTTTAGCAGTTGTAGGCATAGCATTTCAACCCCCAAAAAGTGTCAGACGTTTCTATTTCTCCCCATAGTCTGTTTTGAATCAGTGAGGAAAAGTATTGACATAAGCTTCTCAGCACAGAGGTGAGCTCCTCCTCACCTTTCCTTGGCAATCACTGAGTCACATGCTCCTGCCTAAATTAGTCCCTAGTCAGAGGAGAAGAATCCAGATGAGTGGCTGAAAAATCAGATCCCTTTCCTCTCTGGCCAGGAGTTTTTCTCTCTTTGTTTAGGACAGGAGCTGATGTAGGTGAGCCTCCAGTCATTACCATGTGTGTTGCACATTTCCCACTTAATGAATGTTAGTTTCTACTTAGTTACCCTATTCTTCCCTGCCGTTGCATCCTGGGTGTGTTGAGAATGGATAATTTGTCTTGTTTCCCTTAAGGAAAGCAAAGTATAATCAATAATTTAGAATTTTATGGAGCAAACTATACACAGCCATGAGATCCCGAACTTGAAACTGGAGCAGTAAAAGGGTGAAAACATGGGTATTTTGTGTGGGATGAGTGCATTTATTGTAAACATGTATTTTAATCTATGTACAGGATGAAAGGTATGAGTGGATGTTGTATATCTATATTACTCTGTTTTCACGCTGCTGATAAAGACATACCCAAGACTGGGCACTTTACAAAAGAAACAGATTTAATGGACTTACAGTTCCACATGGCTGGGGAAGTCTCACAATCATAATGGAAGGCAAGGAGGAGCAAGTCATGTCTTACATGGATGGCAGCAGGCAAAGAGAAGAGAGATTGTACAGGGAAACTCCCCCTTATAAAACCATCAGACCTCGTGAGACTTACTATCATGAGAACAGTATGGGAAAGACCTGCCCCCATGATTCAATTACCTCCCACAGGGTCCCTCCCACAATAAGTGGGAGTTCAAGATGAGATATGGGTGGTGACACACCCAAACCGTATCAATATCTAAAGAGAGGTGGAAATAGGCATTGATAGTTACTATGTAGTCATTAATTGCATACTTTGTAGGTGCTAATTCAACCCCAATTTTTTTAAGGTATTTATTTCTTTGCTTAGAATTGCAGCACAAACAATATTAAAATTGATGATGATAATGCTTTAACTGCTGCCAATGTTTGCTCTGGACATGACTGTAATTTTTCTAGGAAAAGTCTGCCTTGATCTTAAACAGAAACTAGAAAGAGATTTTACTTTCTCTTTCATAACTGTTATTATGTAAATCTTATACTATTTCAACTGTGTTCCAACAATAATGTTATGGTTTTCTTGCAATCCTGAGTCTGAAGATTCAGCCCTTATATGGAGAAAGATGGGCAAAGCCAAGAAAAGAACATCCATGACAAACTAGAGCCCTGGAGTGGGGGACCTGGAACCTGTCGGATCCCTGAACTTCCTGTTATTAAAAAAAGAGAAAATTTCTCTATTGTTTAAGTCATGATTAGTTGGATTTTCCTTTACGTTTAACTAAATGTTTCAAAACTGTAACACTCCAAATAAAAGTTATTTTATGTGCATTCTATTGGCTCTGTGTTTTGGCTCCCACCATTACTCTGAACAATATTCAAAATCTGCCTTTTGGTTTAGAAGTTTCTTTTGTCAATGTATTTACATGTCCACTAGAATAGAATGAGGCTATATTAAATTTATGTATCAACAGAATTAATCACTTAAAATATGAAAACATTATTTTGAAACACATATTTAAAATGTTATTTTTATTGACATCAAGTCAAATAAGTAGTACACAAAGAATTTTAAATATTGAGATAGTAGCATTTAAAGGCCATTATTTTATTATTGCCAAAATAAAAGAAATTAGGATAAACATAAAGTACAGTCAGTTTATAATCTCTATTCCAAATGAGAGTCTATTGTCTTTATATAGAATTAATCTGTTTATTTAAATGCGGACTATTGAAATTAGTTTTGTCAAAGGAGAGGAGGATAAAAACTTCTAAATAGCATGCATGGAAAATGTGTGGCCATATAGATGCAGAAATTATTTCTCTAGTTTAATTAAAATTTGAAGAAGAAAATGAATGCAAAAAAGTATTTGTATAAATACAAAAACATTTTGCTAATATTACCACCATAAGGGAACACCTACAGACCTCATTTAAAATCTTTTAAATCAAGTAGACCAACAAAAGATATTTGCTGTTACTTGAATGAAACAAGTACCTAGTTTGCCTTAATTTATACTTTGAATGCCCAAGTCAGTAAAAATAAAGCAACAGAAACTTGTATCCGAAACAGCAATGCAGGGTTGGTTTAACCTTTAAATAAATCAAAGCAATTTCTCACATTAACAAAAAATGGGGAAACATTTATTATTATTTTAATAGAAGCATAAAAATTACTAAGTAAATTTCAAAGGCTATCCCCAGTAAAAGCAAACTGGGAGCAAATTGGGAGTGAAGTGGGTCTTCCTTAATGCAATAAATATATTAATAATAAACCTGTAGCAGTTAGCATTCCTAATGAAAAACTATTGAAATACTTCTTTCTACTAGTTCAATACTGTGCTGGAAATCTAGAGGCAAGCAGAATAAAATGTAATATGTAGACAAAGGTAAATAAAACTAACAATATTTGATGACAATAAGATTACATATATGGAAATTCCAAAATAATTAACCAATAAAGTATGACAATTAAGAAGAGTCAGTAGGCTGTGTGTGGTGACTCACACCTGTAATCCCAGCACTTTGGGAGGCCGAGTCAGGTGGATCAAGAGGTCAGGAGTTCAAGACCAGCCTGGGCAACATAGTGAAACCCCATCTCTACTAAAAACACAAAAAAAATTTAGCCAGGCCTGGTGGCGGGTGCCTGTAGTCCCAGCTAATTGGGAGGCTGAGGCAGGAGAATCCCTTGAACCTGGGAGGCAGAGGTTGCAGTGAGCCCATTGCACTCCAGCCTGGGCAACACAGTGAGACTCAGTCTCAAAAAAAAAAAAAAAAGTCAGTAAAACAAGGGCACTGGCCATAAAAATCAGCATTAGAATTATATATGTGTATGCATGTCTGCAAGTAACATAATGCTTGCACATACACACACATGCACACACACAGAATAAAGATACAATTTTAATAGCATCACAAATGTAAAACATCTGGGAAATTAACCTGATAAAAAATATGCAAGACTTTTACACAGAAAATGATAGAATATTATTGAGAGAACATGAAGAAGATATTTTAAGTGAAAGTATTTAACATTTTCATGGACTAGAAGACAATTTGTGAAGACATTAATTGGAGCCGGTAACTTTATATATAGATCCAATGTAATCCTTATGAAAATCTCAACTATTTAGGGACAATGGCAAACTGATTTTAAAATTTAAATAAAAGCCAGGAATGTTCCAGGTTCTCCTGAAGAACAAGAAAGTAGAAGAGTATATATTTTAAGTATCAAGATTATTATAAATCTGTATAATTGATCCAGTGTGTTTTTAGTTCATAAAGAGATAAATGCACCACTGAAACAAATAATAAG